AGCTACTCTGTCGACGGTTCTAGGGTCTAGGTGAGGGCTCAACTCTTGGCTCAAGGGTCTAAATGAGGCTCCGACTTCTTGCCGATGTCTAGGTCTAAAGAGGCTCACTTTGCCTGAGGTCTTATGGTCTAAAGGAGGGCTCACTCTTCCTCGAGTCTAGGTATAAAGGAGCTCACTCTTTGCTTCAAGTCCTAATTGAGGCTCACTTCTTTACTAAGGTTTCTAAAAGAGGCTCGACTCTTACCGAGGGTCCTAATGAGCTCACTCTTGCTCAAGGTCCGTACAATGGAGCTCACTCTTATCAAGGGTCTAATGAGCTCCACTTCTTATCAAGGGTCTACATGAGGTTCACTCTTGCTTCAGGTTTTCTAATTTGATGGCTCCACTCGTAGCCTCGAGGTTAATTGAGGGCTCACTCTGCTCGGAGTCTAATGAGGCTCAACTCTTGCTCGAGTCTAATGAAGTTCACACTCTTGCTCAAAGTTAATGAAGTTCAACTCTTGCCTGAGTCTAGGTTCTAAAGAGGCTCACTCTTGCTTCGAGGGTCTATGGGTCCTAGTTGAGGTCCAACTCTTTGCTCAAGGTCTAATGAGGCTCACCTCTTGCTCAGATGTCTAGGTCTAAAGAGGGGGGTTCACTCTTTGCCTTGAGGGTCTAGGTCTAAAGAGGCCTCACTCTTGCCTAGTCTAAGTTAATGAGGCTCAACTCTTGCTTGAGGTCTAGGTCTAAAAGAGGCTCACTCTTGCTCAGGTCTAGCTCTAATGAGACTCACTCTTGCTTGAGGTCTAGGTCTAAAGAGGCTCACTTCTTGCTCAAGGTCTAGCTTCTAATTTTGAGTCCACATGGGAGTTAAGGTGTAGAACAGTCTCATCTCTGTTCAGAGACCATGAGAACCACAGTGTATACCTCACCTGTTGTTTTCTCGAGTCTTTATTTGATTCCAAAGTAGGGGCTGAAATAAAGGGGAAGCCTGGGTCTCCTTCCCTCAGGAATGGAAAATAATGATAGTAATGATAATGGCCAGCATTTATCAGTGTTTATTATGTGGCAGACCCTGCGTTTAGTGCCCTACACAGATTATGCGGATTATGACATTTGATGATTTTGGTAAGTCTGTTAGGAAAGTCTTGTAATCATGCCCATGTTTGCAATGAGGACATTGAAACCTCAGAGGTTAAGAGTCCTGCAGTCCATGCTGCAGGTGGTGAGGAGCGGAGTGGGCTGTGTCTCAGGTGGCCTGGCTGCAGGTGGTGAGTCTTTACAGCCTCCTCCAGGTGGTCATTAAGAATGTTCTGGCCCTGGCCATCTCTCTCAGCCCTGCTGGGAGGTAGTGAAGGGGAGGTAACGTTTTGCTTCTCCACTCTTAGGGCTATTCAGGTGGGCCTGAGAATTAAACTCACATAAGACAGATTAACAGGAGAAAAGCACACTAATTTAGTGCAAGTTTTATGTGACACAAGAGCCTTTATAAGAAGTGGAAACCCAAAGAAATAGCAAAACCCAAATGCTTTTATACTTGGCTGAACAAAGAGAGGTAATTGCAGGAAAGGAACCAAACTATGTGGGGAGGCTAAGGGAAGATGAAAATGATTTTGACAAGATCTGTTTGTACAGAATTCTCGTGGTCTCAATGTCCCATCCTTGATGATAAGAATGGTGCTTTTCTCTGGTATAGGGAGGACATCCTCTATGTGGGGCTTTTATTTCCCACTTTTAAGAAGGAAAAGGGGAGGGTCAGGGCACCTTTCTTCCATCTGCTATTTTTTAAGTGCCTTTAGCTCCAAATAGCCTTTATGCCACAGCTGCATAGTTTGGGGTGGCATATTCTGCCACGCTTCAGTAGGGAGCTTGGGTGACAGGTGCCTCCTTGGGGACTGCTCCATTTCTTTGTATCACTCACTGCCTGGATTATATATGTGGCCAGGTGGCACCATCTGCCTTAAGCTTGCAGCACAGGGAAGGATTTTCTGGAATCCCAATCACTTTTTATCATCCTTATAACAAGCTCCAAGGTCAGAAATACAGAATGGGATTCAGCAACCCCTTGACTGTCTGTCCTTTGCCAGCAAGAAATTTCTTCCTTGACCCCCACTCTAAGTTGAAAATTAAAACAGATGTGGCTAGAGTAGATTAACTGAAATTCTCTCTAATTCACCACACCTGCCAGCAGCACTGTGCCACCCGTGACCAGCAGGGCCCCAGAGCAAAACAAAAATGCAAAGTACCTTGTTCAAAAAGCAGGAAAGAAGCACTCTTCAAGGGACTAAAATATAAAAAGCTTTTTCCTTTCTTTTGCAGTCTCTCTTTTGGCCTTTTTATTTGCTATTTAATGTCATTTTTAAGTAGGGGGAAATCAAAATGTGTAATTATTAGTATATATTTTATCATTCATCTTAATTTTGTGTAATGCCAGGTTTAAATGCAACTGTAAGAGCATTTAACTCATATGTTGAGTCACTGAAGTGACACAACTTGTGTTTCATCGCTCTTATACGTATTTTGTTTTTACTGGAACATTGGAAACATTGTACAAAACTAACAAGTCTTCATTAGCTTCTTGATATGGGCGCATTCTGCCCCCGTTCTCCACCTTCTGCTCACAGATGAGGAAGGTCTGAGAGGAAAAAGTAGACTAATTTAGGGGTCAGAAAGGGGTTGGTGGGGTTCCTTGGTTGTTCCTGTTTCTTAGAACATCATTACCTTCTGTCTGCATCTGAAGCAAGTTCTGGTTCAAATGCGAGTATATCTTCTCAGGACTGTCAGCCCCCTGCTTACTTGGTTAAAGACACAACACGCTTTCCTCGTATTGGCTCCGAGTCTCGCAGAGTAAATGTGAATATTGGCGGTGAAGAGCAGCAGACGCGAGCATTTCACAGGCTCCCTCTGCTCACACGTATGCCTCACTGTCCTGTCCAACTTCACTTACAATACACGATTTCGAGAGAAATTTATTTAGAATTTCAAGATGGCAACAGAAGAGCGTCAAACCAGATGCTGGGTCCTCCCAAGCATGGGGCCGTTAAGTTGCATGCCTGTGAAGCTGGCTCTGGTGATAGCATTGTATCCAACTCAGGGATGTTTTGAGGGGAGGAGTGAAATTGGGGCAAATCACTCTGCGTGCCTGCCCGCATCAACATTTCCTGGAGGTGAAGGTCAGGATGGGCATGGAGGGCAACTTCTGGGGTCTCTTTGAGAGAGGGGCAGACCCTGCCCTGTGCACCCTACCCGCTGTGGGTAGCAAGATCAGAGCTGGCGTTTGGTGGTGTGCACGTGAGGCTCCCAGCTGGAGGCACTTGCAGCCTTAGATCTCTTCTCTAGAGAAGACAGATTCCCAGATAAATCCTAGATCTTTGACAATTCAGAACCGCAAAGGACCTTGCAGATGAAGCCAGGTACAGTGGACGCTGTATAGTATAGAAAACCCAACTCAAGCTGGCTAAAGTAATAAAGGGGATTTATTGACTCCTATACATGACAAGTCCAGAAGTAGTTTAGCATCAAGGGTAGTATGATTCCATGGGTGACGAATGTCACTGAGAACCCAGTTTCTTTTCACCTCTCCTCCTGCCTCTTGGCATTGGTCTCATTCGCAGGCTGGCTTCCCCTCCTGGTGGCAGGAAGGCTGCCAGCCACCCCTGGAGTGATTCAGTTCCTCACCAGTGGCCAGGAAGGGAGATACCTTGTTTCTGGAAGTTTTGTCAGCAGAGTGAGAAAGCTTTTTCCTGACTCTCAGTAAATTTCCCAATATAAGTCATGAGCCCACCTACTAATAACATATCTGGTAAGTGGGGCTCTTCTGGTTAATTGAGGGTGAAACTTAATGCCCTTTTCCATGGCCAGGGTGGGGTCAGCTTCTGCTAGAACACATAAATGGCACAGGAGAATGGGGAGGTAGGGAGGTGGTGGTACCTGAAAATAATTGAGGTGATGACCTAGAGAGGAAGGAGCAGATGCTGCAGAAGCTACCATGACGTTCACTCAGAGATCCTCTGTCAGCTCTCAGCATGACAACGGGACTCAGCAGAAAACACAGATGTGTGATACTGTCAAGACTCTGACAGTGGGAACTGGGGGGCAGGCCTACCCAAGAAGCATTCAAATTCACACTTTCAAAAAAAAAATTACTGGCCAAGCAAAACTTATATCTGCAGTCCGTTGAACAGATGAGAAAACCAAGAAGCAAAGTGGGGAAGTAATTGCCTAATCACAAAAGTTGCCCCATACACTGAGGTCCTCATGCATATATCTGTCACCACCTTTTACAGAAGAGGAAAATGGTTTCAGGATGTCAACGAATTTACCCAAAGCCACATGGCCAGTGAGTGACAGGGCCAGGATTTGGACCCAAGCCTGTGTAGCCCCCATTCTTTTGTTCTTTCCCAATGTCTAAAAGTTGAATTGGTGGCATTAACAGAAAGAAAAACCCAAAGTCAGTTCAAAGCTCTATTATACTGTGTGTCAGCAAGAAGTTTTAGGAGCCCACCTAATGTCATGGGCTATGGAATATATAACCAAATGAATGGAAAGGGAAAAAGATTTTGTGAAGCAAATACTTAAAGTGATAAAGTGAGTTGTCAGTGAATTTTATCCAGGGAAGAGAAGAACCATCTGCCCTGGGTACAGGAGCCCAGGAAGCACAGGGTGAATCCTGCCCGGCTCAGTGGATGCCGGCAGCTTCTGGCGTCCTGGCACAGGCACAGTGGCAGTTTATAAACTCCTTTTCTATAAGCTGTCAGACTTGGAGAGGTCCTGCAGGAAATCTGGGCCTTGGCATCAGCAGAGTGATCACAAGAGATGTTCAGCTCTCTGAGAAATGCAAGTCTTGGCTTGCATCCACTGTGTGGGAGCCCCAGGCGAGCTGCAACCTTCTCCTCCTGTCTGCTGACTTGCCTCTGGAGAGAAAGTCAGGTTTCACAGGATGCTTAAGAAACTGCAGTAAGGAGGAAATGCAAGGGTCTGTGTGTTTCTAACCCAGTGCCTGCCCCTTCTTCTCCTTGCAGCCTGCTTCGTTTTTGTGCTCTGCGCTTTCCTGGCTCTACCTCTGTCCATGGCCTTCATAGGTAAGCTGCCTGCCGAGCTGCTGGACGCCACAGGTCAGCCAGGTTGGGGCATGGACCCAAGGCGTGTAATCTCTAAACATTAAATATGTGCTTAAGAAGAACTGGCCAGCCCGATGATTCCTAGACACCTATGTGCCATCTCAGAATGACTTGGTGAAGATTTAAAAAAACACACATTCCTGGGCCCCATCCTGGGAGATATCAGTGCAGTGTATCTGGGTGGGAACAGACACCCTCTTTTAGAAATCTGTCCCCAGATGATTCTGATCCCTCTAGCCCAAGTTTGGGAGTGACTGGGCTAGAGGTTTCCCAAAGTCCTTTCCCAGTTCCTATGTTCCCTTGTGGAAGCAGGATGTGAGCAATACAAAAAATGCACCTGGCGCTAGGTGACGTATGGGTACTCTATACATTTTTTTGCTGAATGAATGAATATTTCCATAAATCACGTATATTAAACAACCTCATAATTCAGAAGTGTGATGTCTAGCAGAGGTCAGGGGAGGGGCAGGATGGGGGAAGCTCCTTGAGTAGCTAAGAATTGTTATCACGTGTCAGTGAAATTAATCTCATGCTCCTGAACACTGCTAATGGGAGCCCCTGAGGCCCGCGTACAGGACCTAGCTACCCCTATTTACCTAGAAGCCCAGCATGGCCTGGCACAGTGGCTCACGCCTATAATCCCAGCACTTATGGGGCTGAGGCGGGCTGAATGCTTGAGCCCAGGCGTTTGAGACTAGCCTGGGCAACATAGTGAGACCTTGTTTCTACCAAAAACATTCAAGTCTTGACTTAAAAATTAGCTGGGTGTGGTGGCGTGCGCCTGTAGCCCCAGCTACTCGGGAGATTGAGGTGGAATGATGGTGCCACTGTACCTCCAGCCAACTCCAACAAGAGTGAGACCCCGTCTCCAAAAAACACAAAAACCAAAAAACAAAACAGAAAAGAAGCTCAGCAGGCCCAGTGTTCTAGGTCCAAGCTCACAGCATATTGGAGCAGTTGTTGCAAAACAACAACGAAACACCCAGTACCCTAATTCCTTAATGGGTATGAGCCTTCCTTCCGAGGTGATGAAAATGTTTTTGAACTAGATGGAGGTGGTAGTTGCACAACATTGTGAATCCACTTAATGCCACTGAATTATTCACTTTAAAATGGTTTATTTTGTTATGTAAGTTTCACCCTGCCACTCCTGCTGAAGCCACAGTACTAAAAATGGAAACAAAAACAGTATCCTTAGATCTGTAAGACATGAAAGCTAACAGCCTGACAGGAAATAAAAAAGAAGATAAGATTTTAAGGTTTGCAGAGAACTAAAACAGCTAAGTAGTCTGGGGCCATTTAGTGTAAGAGTCAACAATTCAGTCACTTCAGTAGGCCCTGGTGCTGTGATTATTACAGTGCAATTCAAAAATTAACATTTATCATATGGCTCTGTTCTTCCAAGAGTTCACAAGATGTTAGGCGTACCCAGCTTAGGAAGTCAGGAATACTCTCCAGAGGGCATTCTATGCAAAATCTGTCAGGGAAGAGAACCCTAGCCTTTGGACCCTCGGGTTAGTTATCTTTCTTTTTCTTTTCTTTTTCAGGGTCTCACTCTGTCACCCAGGCTGGCATGCAGTGGAACGATCTCGGCTCACTGCAACCTCTGCCTACCTGGCTCAAGCGATTCTTGTGCCTCAGCCTCCCAAGTAGCTGGGATTACAGGCGCCCGCCACCACGCCTGGCTAATTTATGTATTTTTAGTAGAGACGGGGTTTCACCACGTTGGCCAGGGTGGTCTTGAACTCCTGATCTCAAATGATCTGCCCACCTCGGCCTCCCAAAGCGCTGGGATTACAGGCATGAGCCACCGCACCCAGCCAGTTACCTTTCAAATGAACTTAACTGCAACAATTCATCCACCAACAAGGCTACATAAAAGAGAAAAGACCCCACAAGCCAATTCCCACGGATATTATATTAAAATCACCACATCCACTGCAGAAGGAGGGTTTTGGAGGTCTTATTGCTTCTAGAGCAATATTGGTTATAGAGTTTGTGTTTGGGGTGATGAAAACATTTTGGAAATAGTGGGGATAGTTGCATAAGATGATGCATGTAATTATGCCTATGAATTGTACACTTAAAAATGGTTAAAACGGCAATTTTTGTTGAGATATTTTATCACAATAACAAATATTTTAAAAATCACTACATCTGGTAGTTGTTATCAACTGAACTAGGGAGAGACCTAAAGCCAAAAAGAATAATCGCGATACTGCAGATCAGACAAGAAAGAAAATCTAGAGTTTAGGTAGGTCCTAAGCAGTACGTGAGAACCAAGGGGGAAAGACGGCTTTTATTAAATTTATTAGGATCGTTTTAAGCCATCTGTGCACTGATTGACTCTCCTGTGAACAGCAGCTGTTTTTATTCACTGGGAATGAGCAGATATCTAAGCCATTACTCAGTGTTCATTTCACAGCTGACTTTTGAATTGAAAGGCGGTCCATGTCCAACAAATTTGGCACCAAGTACTTAAAGGTCTTTGTGTGAAAAGGCTGTGTTGAGACTTGGAAAGTATTTCCATTTAATAACAAATTCGGCTACAATCAGAGATAACTAAAAGACAAGCCTCCATAGGTTGATGATTGGATCAATGTGTATATTTGACTAAATTCTGTTTGGGCTCTGAATTTATAGCTCTCAGTATACCTAGAGAATTTTGTTCATTTCAGTGGAATATGGTGTAGTCATAGAAAAACAGTTTACTCCCTCTGCTTAAGTATCAGGCATTTATAGGGAATAAAATGTCAAATCAAAGCTAAAAGTCTAAATGTCATTTAAACAGGAGGCTTTGGTTCTACAGTAAGAATTCCCTTTCTTGGAATCTGTTGACAAATGTATTAGCCAGGGTAACTTAACTGTGCTGCAGTCACAAATTAACCCTGGAATCCCAGTGGTTTAACACTATAAGGGTTTATTTCTTGCTTATGCAAATTCCATCATGGGTCAGTGGGCATGGGGACTTCCCAGGCAATGTGATGACATAATATTCCAAGCTGCTTCAATCTTGAGAACAATCCATCTCCACGCATGGCTTCCAGGTGGTCAAAGCAGAGGAAGCAAACAACGAATCATGTATCAGTTTTTAAATGCTTTGGCCTGGGCTGGGCACAATGGCTCATGCCTGTAATCCCACACTTTGGGAGGCCCAGGCAGGAGGATCACTTGAGCCCAGGAGTTTGAGAACAACCTGGGCAACATAGCGAGCCCCCTTCTCTACAAGGAAAAAAGAATTAGCTGTGCATAGTGGCACATCCCTGTGATCCTAGATACTCAGAGGCTGAGGTGGGAGAATCGCTTGAGCCTGGGAGGTTGAGGCTGCAGTGAGTTGCAACTGAATCATGCTACTGTACTCCAGCCTGGGCCACAGAGCAAGACTCTGTCTCAAAAAAAATAAACACATGCTTTGGCCCCAAAGTGTCCCACAGCCCACTGGTCAGAACTGGTCACACTGCCTTGCCACTCAACAAGGGAGATGGGCAATATGGGGGGGCACATGCTGGGCAGTCAGTGTCTCCCATAGCAAAGGTGTCTGTTAGAATTCATCTGGAGCTTGGTCATTTGAGCCAGACTGGTCCCTGAGGGAAATGGGCATTTCTTCTTTATATTTTAAATAGATACATTATATCATTTGTTAATAATAGGTCTAGAGAACAAAGACCTGAGAAAAGTAGACAGAGCATTGCTTTGGGGAGAAAAATTACCGTTAAGAAAGGGTAGGCGTCTGGGCAGGCTGGCTTGGTAGTACTCTGTATCTGGTAGCTAAGGATATGTGAGCACATGCGTGTTTCCCAGCGTGGGGTCCAGTGAGTGACATGGTCAATGGTGATCATATGGTGACTGTGACTAACACAGCAGAGGGCTCGCTACACAAGGAGGAAGAGCGGCTCCTCCCTGCCACTTGGTCCCTGGAAACAGAGTAGATGAGAACCTCATTCACAGAGTCACATTTTGGAAATGTGACTCATAAATTAAATCTTATTTTAAGCATATCAAGAAAACTGTATATTTAAAGGGATCCTTTGAATTCTGAATCCTTGAAAACTTGAGTTCTCATACACTGGCTATTCAGAAAAGCAGAGTGCAACCCATAGCCAGTTAATACCCAGAAAAAAGGTGCACTGACACCTGGTCCCTGCCCTGTCTGCGGGAGTATTTATCGCCACTCCGCTGTGAGAGTGAGTTCTGCAGTGTCAATCCACTGAGCATCCTGGGGATCAGGTGACTGGTGAGGCTGAGCAGATCCCACAAGCGTATGGTTTGCCTGTTTAACATGTTGGCTTTTGAAGGTGTTCCACTCATCTTCAGAACCAGGCTTTGTGCTCTTGAATGTATTTCTCTCAATCATCTTCTGTTTGCCCTATGCAGGAATGAAATTTTTGGAGGACTGCCCTATACAGCCCCTCATACCTTTATATTTGCTAGTGGGTGGCATCGTCGGCACCTTAAAGGTAAAGTATCTTTATCTGTTGTTTGTAGTCCTTGTAGAAATTTAACTCACAGCCATCCTGGAATGCACCTGTTATTTGCCTGCTATTCACAGGGGAGCCAAAACAACTTCCCCCTAAGCGTGGTTGCTGAAGTGATGGGGCTGGCTCCAGAGACACAGATTTTTCCAGATGCAGGGCATTTACCCAGGGCTGCGCTTCTTTGCAAGAGTTTCCTTCTTGCTATCGAGTTCAGTGTGCTAAGCTGTGGCTTTGGTCTGACAAGAGTTGATGCAGAGGAGTCCCTGACTGCCAGTTATGCCATTGAATTCAGCCAGTGAAATCATGGTCTTTCTCTGCACTGCTGCTTTAAAAAAGCTTCCTGTTCAGGCAGGGTTTGCATTTGGTTAAAATATGTTTGATTTAGCAGTTCCTATTTCTGCTTTTAACTATACCTCCTAGTTCTCAATTGACTAACATAGGATTAATTGGCTGCAGTTATCAATCAACTATTAAAGTATTCTTATGCCTGGGGTAGGAGTGCTTCTCTGTGACTCTCAAGGTTATGTAGTTAATCTGCTCCTGGGCTGTATTGACATTTGTTTAAACAGAAAAAGCAACTGAAGAAGAAATATCAGGGGCATGCATAGCGTGCAGTTGTTTTCAAGATCCCTGGCCCACAGCAATGTTACACCTACCAAGAGAAGTTTCGGTCAGCCTCCATCTATCAACAACTCTTCCCAGCCTTCCAAGCCCACCTCACCACTTTCTATATCAAAGCCAGAAAACACAAGCATCCATTTCCCGAAGATGGTTCCATAAAAACAAAGCCGTAACACAAGAGAAAAGTGAGTTAAGAGTGCCAAGTGTGAACTTTTATTCGGAACCACCGTTGGGTTTCTTTGCCAGCTGCCTTCTGGTGCTGGGATCTTTGGAGCGATCCTGGCCAGTGGAGCTGGTCATGCTGTTGATCTAAGACATCAAAGGAATGTCTTGAAAATTGTTCTTATATGCAACTGGTAGCCACAAGCTCCACTCTGTCGTGGGAGACGTCTGATTTGGGGCAAACCTTTGGAGGCTTTTGTGTCTGAGGTAACCTCCCTGATAAATACCCCCATCTCCTAATAGCAGTCTGGTGGGCAGTGTCCTAAAATGTACAAATACACACGATGGTCCCCATCACAGTATCCCCATGGGATCTACCAGGGACTCTGTTCAGCTCCAAGAAAACCCAAAGGCGCTTGGCTCAGCGGGGCCACATTTTCCCCATGGCCCCCACAGTGTTAAGGGAAGGCTCTGACGGTTTGAGTGCCACAGAGATGCTTAAAACAAGGGCAGCGTTTTTAGCAGTAATTACCTCTGCCTCTCCTGTTCTCATTCGACTACCTCATCGTGAAGCTGCCCAGTGGAGCTTTCCTTTAGAGATGCTGCTGTCCGTGGGGTCTGTTCCTCTTAATAACAGCAAACTTTTCCTTTCTGAAAGCCAACCCAGGACCCAAAGGTAATTTATTTTAATGAACAAACTAAGGCCCTAATAAGCAGCATTGATTTTTTTGCCCTGGCAATCTAAAACCGTTTGAAGCCAAATTAAATTTTTGTGCTCATGATGGCAAGGTAATATACAGTGAGTCCATAACCATTAGAGCAGCGGCAAACACGATTAGAGTCCCCAGAGGCAGAAGTTTACCTGTAATAATGATGGTTCGTATTCAACCTCAAACCTGCTGAGGGGGCCCCAACATCCTTCCTGAAATGCATCAGATAGCTTCACAGTATTGCACTCTATGGAGAGAAACGAAGAGATGTGAGCTGACATTTCATGGAGCTACCCAAAAGAACTGAGGGTTATGAAGATCAGGAAATGAATTAAGTAGGCTGTGACCTGCTTTTTAAAAAATAAAATAGAAAATTAGAGTGCCTAGTAAGTTAAGTATTGTGTGATACTTACATATGAACATGTGTATTTGGGTGAGCTGACCGTATAATTTATCATCCTAACTGGGACACTTTTGAGAGTACAAAGCGGCTCTAGTAATCATCCTGCCAGAACAACAGCATAAACCAGGACTTCTCTAAGCCAACAAGGACATGCAGTTACCCAGTGCCTAGGACTTGGCATAAAATGTATTCGTTACTGAGGGTCGTGTTAAAAGACAGTTTCCAAAACATGGATTCAGTGACCATCGCCTACCCTGCACTCCCCTCATCTTCGCACATCACCCTTCCGAGCGGCGATTGCTACCCTGGTGAGCATGTGCTTTTTGCTAATGCCGTGCTGATGACTCTGCCCTATTTGGAGCTCATTCAGTCCTCACCGTGCCCCTTTGAGGCAGGTACTTGCTTCAGGAAGGATTCTTTGACTACAAGGAACAAAAACTCAGCCCTGGCTAACTTAAAAGGTCATTGATTGGAAGAGCTCACAACCTCAAAGGTTAGTGGGAGAGAAGGGGGCCAGGTGGCTCCAGAAGGTCTGGGCAGTGGGACCCACTTGCCACGGCTCTCTCCTCGGGCTGGTTCCTTTCTCCTGGCATCATTGTAGCCGAGAACCCGTCCTGGGAGGGCAGCCAGATCTGTGGACACGTGGTGGGTGGGGGAATTCCTCCAAGGAGTGGGACCCTGCAAGGAAGGGAAATGCATCTGAGTGATGGAGACTTGAGCTGGATTCTCAGTTCCAGCTTACAGTGAGGCAACAGCAGAGCTGGTGTTCAACCTGGGCTTTCCCAACCACACAGCCACGGTCAGCCAACCTACCACCGTCAGTTGGTTTTTTTCCCCTACCCTAAACCCACCACCCTTCACCTTTGCCACACCACTCCCCCTCAGGGAGGACCCTCGCACCTCTCCTTGTGCCTAGGGGTCCCAAGTATGCCCCTTCCTCCAGGCAGCCCTGCCTGGATGAGTCAGCTCTACTGTGGGTGTCTCTCTGAAGTCCCCTGAGGTCTCACTTTCCTTTTCTTATGGAGATGTTCTGCCTCCCAGCCAGGCTGCAAGTCTTAGGAGTGAACCCTCCAATTTAATTTCTTCTGATTTAATCATCGGTGTAGACAGTGTAGACTGTGGTGTAGACAGTGGTCAAAGAGGTGTGGATCACTGCCTTTCTCATTCTCTTACTCACTGTGGATCTCACTGAAGCGACTTAACTTCTCTGAGCCTTAGTTTCCTCATTTGGGCAACAGGGATACTATGCAGCCCCAGGCGAGGATGGACATTAAAGATCACACATACCAAGCATTGAACTAACCACCCTCCTTAGGTTTTGTAGCTTTACATAAGTAATAACTCTCCATTGTGGAAAATCAGAGAATGCAGATAAGGACAAAGAAAAAATTCAAAATCATCTGTAAATTTCACCACCCAGAGAAAATTGCTATTGACATTTTGGCCCAATGGCTCCAGTTTTGGTCCTGCGCCCATGTTTATTTAGTACCTCTTGCCTCAGGCTGGGAGAATTCATTGAGATAATGTATGTCAAACACTTTGCTCAGTACTGGGGTATATTTTTGTACAACACCCATTCCCAGAGTCACTATCACCTCCTCACGGGTAGCTCCCAGATCTCCGCCAGGAGTCCTCACCTGTCTCTGTTCCCCTCCAGGCTCTGACTCCGCCCCCTGCGGGCCACTAGCACCTGCATTTCCATCCAGAATTTTAAATGGAACAAGTCCAAACCTGGAGTCATCATCCACCCAAAGGCATGGCTTGGGGTTCGCTATTCCCATCTCTCTGTCTCTTTATTTTATCCTTGCTTCTCTTCACAGTTTGGAGCCCACTTAGCTGCATCTCTTGGCTCCCGCTTGCCCTTCCATTTCACTCAAGCTCAGAATCTCTCCCCGCCTCTGCCAGTCAGCTACATCCTCTGTCATCCAAGGATTCTTTCTAATGCCCTGCTCTCCAGGGTTAGGGGTGCCATGCGCGTGACCTCGGGAGAGGTAGGCAGCTTAGGAAGCCGGAGAGAGCAGATACACAAGCCAGGCTTTCAAAAACATCACAGATCAAGTTGCTAGGCAGAGAAGACGGGGAGCTGCTAAGGGATCCCTTAGCAAAGACCACCTGTGTCCTTCCACCGCTGCATTTCCAGGGGAAGTGTGCTCCCCTGTGACAAAGGCATCTGTGGCCAGTTAGAGTTGGGTGGGTTGTGGTGCTTTGTGTAACCAAGTGGGAGCAGAATTTCAAAGGCGTGTCAGGCTGGAGTCAGGGATCATCTGCCAGGGGCCCAGATGGTCTTTGTCCCCCAAGAGTATCACTCCAAGGACAAGGGTCTGTGCTCTTGACTTGAAAGGTGTATGAGGACAAGAGAGACAACACTCTCAGTCCACAGCCCCACTTGGGAATTCCAGATGCCTGAGATGGGGAGTGGTGCAAACTTCCAAGAAGAGAGAAAGCAGGCTGGGCGGGGCTGGGGTGGGGAGGAAACAGCTCACAGTACCTGGATTTGGCCAAGCCTGTTACATGGCCTGGAAGTACCAGGGAAAAGTCTGCTGGGGGTTTCTGCCAAGAGAGAGGGATCTATTTCAAGGCCTCTAGCATGCGGACCAGGTGTCATTTTTACGTTATGTGTGGGTGCAAATGTGCTAGCACAATACAGGGGAGAGTCAGTCTGAACCTTGATGCGGAGACAAGTCACCCCAACTAACCCCTTGTCCAAATCAACTCACACATCTAAAAGGAAGACGCCACTGAGGATGCTGGCGACGAATCAATGCCTTCATTCTTGCCAGTTTTAATTCTCATTCTTCAAATTAAATTTTGCTGCTTGGTGGCATTTCTAACTCAGTGTGTGCACTTTTCATGACACCTTCCTCTCTCTCCTCTTTCTCTCTCCCCAACACCCCTGCCACCGCTACCTTCTATCCCCTCTCTTCCTCTCTACTTTGCTGCTCTGCCCTGCCACCCGGCTCCCCACCACGCCCCAGGTGTCTCTCCTGTTGTACGACTCCACCAGGATGAGGCGGCTGCTGTCCAAGGCCGTGGTGATCGATGATGATGACGATGACGAATACCCCTGGAGGCAGAATGCGCACAGATACTACATCCACCTCCTGCTGAGCCTCTTCCTCTTCCTCTGGTTCATCCTGGGAAACTACTGGGTCTTTTCTGTGTACCTGCCTGATTTTCTTCCCCCTTTCCAGCAGCCTCAGGACTACTGTGACAAAACCCTGTACCTCTTTGCAGTTGGAGTCCTGGCACTCAGTCACACCGTGCTGGGCTTGCTCCTGCTGTGCAGCGGCTGTGTCTACCTGTGCTCCAGGTGGAGACTTGCTGCCGATGAAGACTGACAGCTGCCTTGTCCAGCATACCATGTATGCATGTGCACGCACGCGCGAGCACACACACGCGCGCGCGCACACACACACACACACACATAGGTTCAGGAGAAGGGCATAAAGGTAATAAAATCTTCCCTGAAGGCATTTAAAAAGCCACCCAAACGCACTGAATATGATAGTGGACTAAAGAAACTCTTGCCTTCCTAGACACGGGGAAATCACTTCTGCTCTTTTCAGAGTAGGAATTTTGTTCTCACAAGAGTTTTCAAAGTGATCATTGTTTTTGAGGGGATGAAGTGTGAGAGGCAAAGAATGGGAGACCTTTTCAAATCATAGTGCAGTTTCAATGACTGGTACAAGAACAAGGCTGGTTGTTGCTACTGCTGCTGTCATTCAGTCATGGTCACCTTGAAGTTATAGAAAGTGCACAGACTTTCAAACAAGATATATCTTAACTTCACTCACTATGATGACTTTTGTTATTAAAAGGAAAAAGACACTCTTTTAGTGACTCTAGCTGCCTTTTGGGAAAGTGAAGGTGCAGTCTCTTCCAGCCATATATCACATGGGTTTGATGTGATGGGTGGAACATCCCAAGGTCAGCTGTAAAATCTGCCAATGTCAAAGCAGTCGCTTCCACCTAGGGGGCGGGCTGGCCTGCTAGCCAGGCATTGCGGAGTGCAGCGCCGTGTGCACCGTGTGCCGCTGCTGCAGGTTCTTTGCTTGGCCTTGAGTCTGTCTCTGCCCCTGGCTATTTGTGTACCTCTCTATGATCTGCGGCTGGCTGGGTGGCATAAACCAGTTTTGTATGTTTCTGGACAGGTTGCATGAGTTGGGTTGCCGTCAGTGTAGCTGTTTTTGGTTTCTGAGCTTAACTATCAAATAATAGCTCCTCAACCTAATGACCAGTTAGGCTTTGGAAGCCTTTTGTAAATTGAGATGTCTGGAAGTCCAGGATGACACCAAACAGTGACCACTAACCTTCCCTCTGGCTGCCGCTGTGGAGAGATGAAGTCCAGGTCTGTTGTCAGTGCTTGCCGGGGAGCCTCTTTATAAGCAAAGTCCCACGCTTTAGAATTTTGTATGAAGACGCTGTCATGAATGTTTCTAGGGCAATGCCCAGGGGTGCGTGGCACCTGCTTAACTGTGCTTCTCTCAGCCACATGCATAGCCTTTCTGTATATTTACACACTGCTGAACTGTGTTTATTTTTTAATTTTTTAATTTTTTCGTTCTTTCTCATCAAACCAATCCCTGAGTGGCCATGAATGGAGGCACCTCCCTTCATCAGAAGTGTCAGCTCAAACCAAGAGGCTCATTCTTCTCCATAGCTTTAAGAGAAAGGCCCTGTGAGTCCCATGGGGTCTTCCCATTTCAGTTTAGAAGCTCTCCCCGGGCAGTCACCATTGGTCCCCCTTTCCTCCCAGGTGAGAAGAAAGTGCTTGGTGTGCCATCTGCTGGACAAAGGAGGGACAGCCCTTTTTTTGCCCCTGTCTCTAAGGGCAGTTTCTGTTTTCATTTTCACTTGAGCCATGACAGAAGACCAGCGGGTGTGCAGTTTGCAGATCCCACCTCACCTATGATGCCTGATTCTGTCCTCACTGTGTCCCATGTTGCCCTCTCCGTGTCTGGGGAGAGTCTGTGGGCTACGATACTGGGGTGAACAGGGGTTCCATGGGCTCCCCTCCCACCCTCCTTTCCCCAGTCCATGACTCGTCAGCCACTCCCAGTCACTTAGCCAATGCTTGGACATCTGTGAGCAGCAAAGATCTGGGCCCAGGGACGCCTGCATGACTCCCACATGAAAGCCTCTGAGGCTTCTGTTGCGAGGGCCTTGGCGAAGGCGGAAAGAGCTGTGGACAACCATAAGCATGAGGATTTCTGTTAGCAGATGGCAGGTACTGGTTAGTGCTTTGGATACATCATTAGCTAGGTCTCAAAAGTTGGACATTCCCAGTTTCTGGTAGGCATGAGTATCACCAGAGTGTTGCAGAAATCCTTCCCAGAGGGAGTAGTGGATGGAGTGAGCTCATTCTCATATGCACCCCCCCAGCCCACCCCCAGTTGCAACGGAGAATATTAGTCATAGGTCCTAAATAATTGCTAAAATCTGGACTATATTTTTGGCTTTCAGTTTCCTTGTCACCAAAGCAGTAAGGAAGAGGTGATGATCTCTTCCTATAAGTCACACATCTTCCCTGGTTTGAGGTTACAGTGAGCTATGATTGCGCCATTGCACTCTATTCTGGGTGACAAAATGAGACCCTATCTCTAAAAAACAAAATTACCCCCTTCTGGAGAAACAGGTTAGATCCGAAAGAAAATGTTCATGTGCATTCATTCATAGAGGGGACACTGAGTGGTTCAGTGGGTGACATCTTCAGCGCAGCAGGCTTTGAATGATAACTGACTAAGACCTCCCTCAGGAGATGGTGAGATGGTTATGATAAGGCACATTTCAAGAAAGAGGCTCTGGGGCCAAGGCAAATGGTCTATAACCATGGTTCTTTGAAGTCTGGCTTAATCCAGGGATGACATCCAGACTGTCTAGGAAGGGCTGAGCTGCGTGCCCTTTAAGTGATCACCTGTTAGTATAATTTCACTCAGCTGGAGGTGAGTGTAAGAAGTTCCTGGTTATAGAAGAAGTTAGAATCCTTGGCATGGCCTGAAGTAGGCATTCCACGCTGATGTGAAATGTGCTGTGTATACCTGCAGAATGAAAATGCCCATCTAAGACTGGCCCAAGACCTGGGCAGCCTTCCTCCATGGGAACCCGGCAAGGCAATGGGAAGTGGACATGGGAGCACCTGAACCTTCCGGAGACTATGAAACCTCAAGGGAACAAATTATGTGGCAGAGAGGGATGATCAGTTCTTCCCATCTGAGAAAAGACTGCAGCAAAGATCAACTCTATGTTGAGGTCATTTTATCTGCTACATCGGGCATCATGCTAAAAACCATTCTTTGCCTGAATTTGTATAAATGACAGTTGAAAGCAGTAAAAGTGGGACTGTTTCACGGAAGTCAGCCACACCAGTGGTTCGCAAACCTTGGTGAACCCTCAGAGCTACCCAAGGACTTGTTTGCAATGCAGAATCACAGCCCCCAGAGACTCTGACTCGTGGGGCCTGGCTGGTTCTGATTCAGTGACCGGAGAACCACATGTGTGCACTTGGGCCACACATACAGCCTGGACTGGCTTATGTCAGGCCCATCTTGGTTGTCACCATGAGGACAATATAATGTCGTTTCCAGTACTTCGTATTATTTCCTTCTCTTTTAGTATGAGAAGTGGCCAAGTGGTCAATAGCTTTCATTTTTGTGTAACTGAATCTTGTGCTTCATTTCCTTCTGGGCATTTTTCATTGTTGATGAAATAAACTTTGTTCAATTTGTTCCCTGGTGTCTTCCTTGAATACCCCGGGGGAAGAGAATCCTCCAGTCTTTGGGATGCTTCATTTGTTCTTTCTTCCAGTGGGATTCCCGGGAGTAGACTGTGTCCACAGAAGCTGACAACCTGTTCTAGGCAAATTTTGCTCCATAAAACTCAAAACCCTCAGGTGAGCAGATGAGTCTATAGTGGAGATTTGAGAAAAACGATCTAACACAAAATTCTTCTTAGTAATCCTAGTGATAATTTATCTTTTATAAGTATAGAACTAATAAGACAACTAATCTGTCTTTTCTAGAGACAGAATTTCAGTAGTTCACTTTCAGGTTAGCCTAGCATCACAGCAGCTAAGTTATCTTGGATATCCCAGGAGACAGCATTTTGCCATTGCAAGCAGAAGAGAAATAAGAGAGGAGTGTTTCCAAATATATCTGTTGTTTTATCTCTCTCTCTCAATCTCTCTCTCTTTTTTTTTTTTTTTTTTTTTAAGAGATGGGGTCTCACTATGTTGCCCAGGCTGGTCTCAAACTCAGCCTCAAGTAATCCTCCTGCCTCAGCCTCCCAAAGTGCTAAGATTACAGGCATGAGCCACCTCACCCAGCCCTGTTGTTTCCTCTAAGACACTTCCTTCCTTTGTTATACCGGTCAGCTTTTAAAACTTACTGCATTGTTAAGAGAAGTAAGCGCTGCTTCATAGGCAAGGGAAAAGCAACTGGGGCTTGCTGCTGGCATTAAGAGTTTGCACATACAGCATGTTCCCAAAAAGCCTTGTGACCCAAAACGTCCCTCTGTTCTGATCATTTCTTACTTACCCTATTGGTGGGGGAGGGGCTCTGTCCCAAATAGTGGGAGAAGCCCAAATGCACCCCTTCCCCCACTGGACAGATGAGATGGACAGCAGCTTATTAGTCACTAGACTCACTGCCTGGGCGAGGAGGACACAGCATGTTATGTAGGGCCACATGGGGCTTGCACTTGGGAACAGAGTGGACCTGCAGGGGCCATGACGGTCATGCCTTGTAGTAACAGGAGGACCAGGTAACCCTGTGTTCCCATGGGAGGAGTTTCCTGTCTTGCTTGAGTAATTTCACAGATGGGCAGTGAGGTGAAACCCATTCGGCTGGTGCCTGGGTGAGGGGCGGTGACTGACAGGGGACTGGTCAGGTGGGAGACCTTGCCTGCTGGGTAAGGGGCATGCCTGGTGAGGGCAGGGGAACTCACAGTTAAGCCCTTGGGCCTCTGTGACGCTCAGTGATGTCAAGGCCGCCCATAGAATTGTAGGCCTTGGAATACAGCCTCCTAGAGCCACCTCTGCCTTTCTTGTGCCTTATTCCCTGGGTTATCTAGTCCTGGGTTCAAATCTGTCTTTGAATTTTCTGAAATTCTCAGTGCAGGAAGGGAGATGTCATCAGTGATGAGATATACATTGTCCATGAAGTAAAAAAATGAAAAAGTCTTCTTGACCACCATCAGGAGCAGATCAGAAGCCTCGCCACCTGCTTACCGAGAGCAGGCTGGCACGTCCCCTTCTCCAGCCTTCCAGAGACTTTTCCCACCGTGGCAAAACTCTTGCCGTCTGATCGGACTCATGCAAACTGATGTTTTTCACTCTTTGTATCTTTTTTTGAGTATTTCAGCTGCTATTTAATACAATGTCCTATAGCCTGTAC